TTGGTCAAAACTCAAGGTTCGAACCAAAACCCGATTACGCATTCACCCACGAGCCCAAATATGTAATTAGTTTCGTAATTCAACCCCAAATCGAGGTCTAAATTCCCAAATTTGTAAAATTTCCAATTCTCCCAAAATCTCTAATTTCTACCCTTAACGAACAAGATTTAGGCCTAGAAATCTAATGGGTGTTGATGGAAATTGAATGAAAAGAGTTTAAGAACACAAACCTATGATTTGGTGTTGAAATCTCTCTTCAAAAATCGCCCAAGGTCGAGTTCTATGGAAGAAAATATGAATTTTTGAGCAAATCCCAACTTAGGTTCTGTTTTAAAATCACTGGGCAGGTCTTATTCGCGTTCACGAGAAGCCTGTCGCGTTTGCGAAGCAGCGGTCCTATTAACCTTCGCGTTCGCGAGACACACTACGCGTTCGCGAAGGTATATCCCCCCTAACCTTCGCGTTCACGAGCCGCTTGCCGCGTTCGCGTAGTGTAGTATTCCCCTCCCCCAGTTCCCATTCTTCGCGTTCGCGATAGCCTGGCGCGTTCGCGAAGGGTAATGCCCCCTAACACTTCGCGTTCGAGCCCAGTGTCTCGCGTTCGCATAGAAGGACTTCTCCTTCAGACCGACCTACTCTTCGCGTTCGCGGGAGATCCTTCGCGAACGCGAAGAAGGACACATCTGTGCACCTGCAACAACAAAACAACAGAAATTTCTAAGTCCAAAACACCCCGTGGCCTATTCGAAACTCACCCGAGCTCTCGGGGATCCAAACCAAACATGCACACAAGTCTAAAAATATCATACGGGCTTGCTCGTGCGATCAAATCGCCAAAATAACATCCTAAACAACGAATTTAGCATCAAAATCAATGGAATTCTCAAGAACACTTAAAGTTCTATTTTCACAACTGAGGGTCCGAATCACGTCATATAAACTCATTTCTTACCAAAGTTCAAGGCATGACTTAAATACCATATTACACCTGTACCGGACCCCGGAACCAAAATATGGGCCCGATACCAACAAGATCAAGCATTAATAAATTTCTAAAAACCATTATATTTTCAGTTTAACAATTTTCTTCAAAAATTCATTTCTCGGACTAGGGACCTTGGAATTCAATTCCGGGCATACGCCCAAGTCCTATATTTTTCTACGGACCCTCCGGGATCGTAAAATCACGAGTCCGGGTCCGTTTACTCAAAATGTTGACTGAAGTCAACTTAAATCAATTTTAAAGACAAATGAGGTTTTGAAGACCTCCGAACCCCGAATTGGGTTCTAAAACACGAGATGACCTTTTGGGTCATCACAATTTAACTCACAATGAGAAGAAATCACTTACCCCATAGAAGTTGCTGAAAATGACACTCCAAAATTGCTCGAAAATCGCCTCCCATGGAAGAAATGAAGTGAAAATGAGCCAAATCCCCGATTTTAAAAGAACACTGCCCAGGCCTTTCCCCTCGCGATCGTGGAAATCCCCTCGCGATTGTGAAGGCCAACAACAGTTGCCCAGAAATTCCTCAATCGCGATCGCAAACCTCCACACGCGATCGCGAAGATTTACCTCTCAAAACTACGCATTCGCGAACCAAGCGACGCGTTCGCATAAGGCAAAAATCTATGGTCCATTAATTCCTTCTTCGCGATAGCGTACATCGACTCGCGATCGCGATGCACAACACCAGTCGCCCCCAAACAACTCTACGCGATCACGGATTTCCAATCGCGATCGCGTATAAGGAAACCAGCATCAGCCATGACAACAACTTCAGCAGATCCCGCAAGTCAAATTACAATCCGTTAACCATATGAAATCCACCCGAGGTCCTCGGGACTTCAACCAATCGTACCAACCAGTGCCCAAACACATTACGAACTTGCTCGAGGCCTCAAATCGCATCAAACAATGTCGATATCACGAATCGCACCCCAATTCAAAAATAATGAACTTTAGAACATCAAACTTCTACATTCGATGCTGAAACCTATCAAATCACGTCCGATTGATCTCAACTTTTGCACACAAGTCACATTCGACATTACGGACTTACTCCAACTTCTAGAATCGGGTTCCGACTCCGATATCAAAAAGTCCACTTCTGGTCAAACTACCAAAAACCTTCAAATTCTAACTTTAGCCAAATGACTCCAAAATAACCTACGGACCTCCGAATCCACTTCCGGACGCACTCCCAATACCTGAATCACCATACAGAGCTATTCCCAGGCTCGAAATCCCAAACAAACATCGATAAAATTGAAACGCACTGCAACCCAAATTTATGAAATTCTTCCCAAAATGCTAACTTCCACAATAGGCACTGAAATGCTCCGAGGTCATCCAAAACCCGATCCGGACATACGCCCAAGTCCAAAATCATCATACGAACCTGTTGTAACCTTCCAATCCCGATTCTGAGGTCGTTTACTCAAAATCAACCCTTAGTCAGATTCTTCCAACTTAAAGCTTCCGAAATGAGAATTCTCTTCCCAAATCAACTTCGAACTCCCCGAATTTCAATTCCGACCACGCGTACAAATCATAATACTTGAAGTGAAGCTGCTCATGGCCTCAAACCACTGAACGACACGCTAAAGCTCAAAACGACAGGTCGGATCGTTACACTAGACTTCTTTTTAAACACGGTAATAATGACAAGGTCAATCATGATTCTTCTATTCAGACTCATGCCTCTCTTAGAAAAACACCAACAATATCACGTCAATTTTTCGGCCAAAATTTGAATTTTTCATTTCAAATCAAAGTTGTTATTCCATTTTACTAAATTAATTAGAGAACTAAAAAAGCCACGTCAATTTTTTGGCCAAAATTTATATTATTCGGTCACTTTTATATTTAAGTTAATTAGGCGATACCAAAATGACTATTGTATTAATTCTAAAACATAACAAAAATGACTTTTGTGTTACAGAGCTTTAACTTATGACCATTGTTGAAATTTATCAATAATTTTTTTTTTGGTGGAATGAAATTTTTTTATTCATCTCCAAACAAGTACATCAATAGGAATACAATGAGAAAACTATAAAGCAGTTAACTATGCTTCTAACTATAAATGAAGACTGTACAATTCCTTTCTATCTATCTATATATTCCTTCTATCCATCTTCCATCATTTCCTTTTGTTCTCTTGTTTAATACTTCTACCATAGGAATCTTGCATTCTTCTTTAATTTGCTCACAGACTTCATGTGGTCTAGGCACTGAACTCTTCCATACGGCTTTATTCCTACCTTTTCATACATAGTAGTTGGTTGCTGCTAATGCTGCATATGCAAACTCTCTGCTCAATTTTCCAGCCATCTTCCTTGTCACTCTTCTCCATAATAGCTGCCCTCCAAGTTTGTAATTCTGAATTTAGCCATTCCAATATTATACCAATGCATCTGCTGGAGAACTGGCACTCATAGAATAGATGCTCTATAGTTTCCTATTCATCCCCACACATCACACATAGGCCATCAGTATTCACCCCCTTGTGCCCCAGCCTATCTTTGTGAGTAGCTTCTTCTGCATAGTCAACCAGCAAATGAAGCTGTGTTTTGGCATGTTCTGTTTACTGCATACCCATCGTCCCCATTGACATTTGTCTAGGGACCCTTTCAGCCATTCATATCTCTTTTGTATTGTATATTTCCCTGTACTTGACTGCCACCCCCTCTTTACATATCCGTCTGCCAGTTTGTCTCTAACATTACAAATTTTCTTCCAGTACCAACTACTATCGTTTGCTGCTTTATACTGCCACCAGTCTACATCTTTAAGGTAAATATGGTTTATCCACTTGACCCATAATGAGTCAGTTTTTTGAGTGATATCCCACACATATTTCCCTATCGCAGCCTCATTCCAAGATACACAGTCCCTTATCCCTATTCCTCCTTCCTGTTTTGGTCAGCATACAAGGTCCTAGGCTACTAAGGGCACTCTATTTGTTTCCACTTTGCCATCCCATAGGTAGTTCCTACACATTGCTGTAATACTTTTTAGGACTGCTTTGGGAAGTATGAAAACTGAAGCCCAGTATGTATGAATGTGCATCAAAACTGAATTTATCATTTGCACTCAACCTGCATATGATAGATTCCTTAAACCCCAGCTGTTTATTCTGTTAGCCATCTTATCAACTAGTGCCTGACAGTCCATTTTAGAGAGCTTCTTTGAAGAAATTGGGACTCCAAAATATTTGAATGGGAGCCTGCCCTTGCTATACCCTGTTATTTCACATAAGTCTTCCATTTCTTTTGCTTCCATGTTCACTGCAAATATATTTGACTTCCCTACATTTGTTGTTAGACCAGAAGAATTAGTGAATGTTTGTAATCCTCTCCGTAATAGCATCACTGATTGAATTTCCCCTTTGCAGAAAAGAAGAACATCATCCGCAAAGCATAAATGATTCAGCTGCAAACTCCTACATTTAGTGTGAAATCTAAACCCCTCCATCTATGTCACATGCTTCATAATTCTTGAGAAATACTCCATACATATTACAAAAAGTAGAGGAGATATTGGATCTCCTTGTCTCAAACCCCTCTTCCCTTTTATATTCCCATAAAGTCCTCCATTGATTGCCACTGTATATTGAGGTGTTGAGATGCATTCCATGATCCACCTAATGAATTTCATAGGGAAGTTAAGCGCGTGTAACATTTCTTCCACAAAGTCCCACTCTATAGAATCATAAGCCTTCTTGAGATCTATTTTAATAAGACAGCTTTTTGTTGCTGCCTTCCTCTTGTACAGTCTAACTAAGTCTTGACATATTAGGATATTTTGCATGATTGTTCTCCTAGTTACAAAAACACTCTGGTTTTCTGAAATTATATCTGGTAGGATAGTCTTCAATCTGTTGCATAACATTTTGGATATGACCTTATAAACTGTATTACAGCAAGCAATAGGCCTAAAATCCCCAACCGTCTCTGCATGATTACTTTTAGGAACCACTGTTATAACTGTTCTATTAATTGTTTTCAGCAATTTTCCCTGATTCAAAAAATTCCAGTGCTGCCTCCTTCAGAGCTTTACCAGTTATTTCCCAGCTGTCTTTAAAAAATTTACTCCCACACCCATCTGGTCCAGGAGCTTTCTCACCATCTATTTGCCACAATGCTTGTTTAACTTCCTTTTCTGTAAAATCTTCTGTCAGCATTTGTCTTTGCTCCTCTGTTACTACCTTGCCTTCCCTTACTAGTGGACTGCAAACATGATCTCTTTTGTCTGTAGTAGATCCTAGCAAGTTTGAATAGAATTCCACAAAAGCACCTGTTATCCCTTCTACATTTGTTACCTTGTTGCCCTTAGAATCCTTAATAGGTAGTATCTTATTAGCATTTATTCTTGCCTTTATGTAGCTGTGGAAGTACTTGTTATTTTTGTCACCTTGCTTCAGCCATTGTACTTTACTTTTCTGCCCCAGGAACTGGTCACTTGCTTCCTTGTATCTCCTGTATCTGCTTGCCAGTTTCTGCTCTCTTTCACTAAGACATTGGTTTAGGGATTTTGTTGCATGTGCTGCTGACATTCCTCAAGATCCTTCTTGGCTTGTTCTGCTTTTCCTTCTATATTACTGAATTTTGTTCTCTTTAGTTGCTTTAGTACTCTCTTCAATCTGTTCAGCTTCCCTACAATTTGATACATTTTTGTCCCATTAATTCCAGTACTCCAGCTTTCTGCTACTTTACCTTTGAAATCTGGATCCATGCTCCACATGTTGAAGTATTTGAAATGCCTATTAACCATCTGCTTCCTATTATCCCAACTAATGATAGCTGGGCTATGATCATACAACCCCTCAGTCATATAGTGCACTGTTGAAGTAGGTATCATTGACATCCAATCAAAATTTACCAATACTCTATCAATTCTACTCATTACTCTATCTTCTCCACTCCGTTTATTGTTCCAAGTGTAGAATGCACCAGTAGATTTAAGTTCTTGAAGGCAACATGTATCTACACATTGCTTGAACTCCTTTGTTTCAGCCACTATTACTTTACTGCCTATTCTTTCATCAGTATTCAACACATTATTGAAGTCCCCCATCACTGCCCATGGACCCTGATTGTACTTGTATATTTCTTCTATATCCTTCTACAGATTCCTCCTTAGAGCTATATCATTGTATGCATATATCATGGTTACATTAATCTTCACCCCTGTTCCTCTATGTTTAATTATACTATGAATCAACTGATCAGTAGCTTTTAGAATATGCACCTCAAAAATGATTGGTTTCCACAGTAACCAAATCCTTCCCTTAGGACGCTGAGCCAAATTTGTTGTAAAGGACCGCCCCTCACAAAGATTAAGAGAAGCTCTGTGAGCTTTTGATCTCTTAATCTTTGTTTTCAGGAGACCAAACAGACTAGCTCCACTGTTATGCATAAACAGATGAACTTCTCTCTGTTTATCTAGTCTGTTTAGTCCCCCTTACATTCCAGAAGCCTATCTTATCCATTGGGCAGGGGTCTTTCCCCACCCCTCCCATGTCCTGACCCTTCTCCACTAGTTCTCCCTCAGGGTTGGAAGAACTAACTTTATTCTGTCTCACTTCCTCTGTGTCTCCTCCTTTGTTAAGCACCTCAAATGTATTCCTTGTTGTTATAGCCATGGGATTACTCTGTTGTTTCTCTGACACTTTCTCTTTAGCTTTGCCTTCATCTCTTTTGTTCTCCTTATTCTGAATAGGGACTTCTGTTGTTTTCTCCCCCTGTTCCAGCTGCTTTCTCCTAGTTTCTGCTTCTTCTCTATGTAGTTTCCTGCAATCTTGTAACTCATGTCCAAAATTTTTACAATTTGGACATAATGTTGGCTTCCATTCATAATTCACCTCTTGCTTCACTATTCTCCCCACCTCATTCTCAACATAACCTGCTTAGGGTATTGCTGATTTTTTGACACTTCAACAAGTACTCTGGCAAATGCTAATCTCTCATTATTTGTAGTAGCTCTATCTGCTTTTAATGGCTTCCCAACCAATCCAGGTATCTTTGTTAAGGCATTCTTCCCCAATACTTGATATCCAAACCTTTCAGCCTTATCCACACTGGAATTCTATCCACATTTCCTTACTTACATCCATATATGGTTCCCAAGGCTTCACTACAATAGGCTTTTTGTCAAACATCTGGACTCCCTCTTTAGTGACTTGAATTCTACTTTCAACAGTGTGAAATCTAACCAGGAACACTCCTCTATTTACTTGTGCAATTTTATCTATCCCCAAACCTCCCCATATTCTTCTGAAATATCCATCAATTACAGTCAATGGTGGATTTGATCCCAATACATAGCATATAACTGCTGTTTTCCAGTATACGATTTCATCTTTAATATCATCCATTGTAATTTTGACATTTTCCCCAGCTGTTACCTCACTATTTAGGTCTAATCCTTCACTACTTGGTACTGTGCCCACAATTTTACTCCATGAATTAGTTATTGTATTCAATTGTACCTTGTTTGTCGCATTTGTCTCCATAATTTCTGCCTCCACTCTATCCGCCCATGATCCACCTGAATGAATCACCGGAGTTGTTGCCGGATTCAATGGAGTCTTCACCACTTCAGTTGAGTGCTCTGCATGTGCAATTGGCGTCATTGATGATCCTTGACTTAATCCTAATGGCACAACTCCTTGAATAGCATTGATGTTCCTCGTCTTCTTTGCATCTGCCGACGGTGGAATTCCAGTTCTTCTCGATTGATTGTTTGAATTTTCTACCATGCGTTGTTGCCCTCCCCCTCCATTCTTCGTTCTTCTCGTCATTTCAGTGTTACCTGAGAGGAGAATTCATTCTAGAGAGAGAGAGTCGTAGGTCTTCCCCTATGCATGTTTGGTATCCTATTTGTTCAAAATATGTATTATCCATAAATTTTGGGATGTAAAGTTTTCAGATTTTGTTTTAGTAGGACTTATCTTCTGGTGTGCAAGACCTCCTAATTAAGAAGATATTCCTTTTTGTAGATTAATTCTTGTCACACATTCTTGGCATAACAAAAGTTGAATCTCCCTATTTAGGTAAATCACATGAGTAAAGATCTTATTTAATCAAATTGAAGCTAAAATAGTGGAATAAATATAGACCTTTCACTTTACAAGAAATGCGAAAACTAAAATCAATTAAAACTATGAGACAAATAATCAGTTGGGACAAATCTTCATTTCCCATTAATGCCCTTCGATCTATAAAAATTGAAATATATCTCAAGGTAGATTGCTCGAACGGACCTTAAATTGGTCTTTAATTTCCACACCTTAGACACGTGACATGGAATTGCTAATACAATCAGACTTCTCTATAACAACATCCCCACATAATAATCATTTACTGTAAAAGAGTATTCTCAGAACCGATCTTTTATGTTATGTTATATTATACTTATGTCCTATATAACCGTACTTTACTATATCATTCAAAAATATAATAGGTCTGATTGTATATGTGAAAATTTGTGGGATTTGTTGCAATCGAGTGAGGTTTCAAGTGCGGCTAGGAAATATAACCACTCAGTTTAGGAGCGTCCCTCAAATTATATTGTGGTCTTTATTCTTTAATATGCCAAATGGAAAGTTTTAAAAAGCTACTAAATATAAAATTTCAGCAGGAATTTAGGATGCAAAAATTAAAATGAGGAGCTTAGTTTTTCAAATTATCGGCACCGGCTATGTAAATAAACCTGCACTATCAACGTACATGAACGTGAATAATTTTGATACAAATTCTACGTACGGAAACCGTCTTTTGACTAATTTACCTTCTTATCCTCACTCGCTCTTCGTCCTACTATCGTTGATTTCTTAGGAAAAAATCTATTGGACGGTTCAGATTTGATTCGTTAGTCCCTAGACTAGTTCTTTGATAACCTTTTCTGAATATTGACTCTTTCTTTATCTTTTGCCTTGTTTTAGGTAATGTTGACTTTTGTCTGTCTTGACTTTGTGAAAGAAAAGGGAAGAGAGAAAAAGACTTGTGTCTTGACTTTGGATAGCTGGATAATCTCTCCTACGGTCTTACCTCGTTGGGCAATAGCCAATATGGTTTTCACGTTAATTTTTATTATTCTTACTTTTGTTTGTTGAATTAATGTTTCAAAATTGAGATTGGAAGTAGCCACCAATAAAAATACATATAGTTGGACTCTATTATATGAATATTACTCTACTATTTATATCGTTTATTTAGACCATACTTTAAAGTATAATTTAATATAAAGTTTTCTTGAATATGTTAATGTACTTTTACTGCAATCGTGGGCGATAAATCATCCATATTATTTAATTTTACTTTTTAAATGTGGGTAATCTCATGTGGCAATATAAATACAAGGCAAGAAACCTTTCTCATGATACAATGAGAAAATTTGGTTTGTTTATTATGCTAATGGAGGAATTATGATATATTATAAAAAATTAGCACTCTTCAACTTAACCATTTCTTTTCTATCTTAACTGGAACGTGTATAAAATGGATTTTGATATTTTAGGCTATAAACATTAGGAAAATTGTAACAGATTTATAAGTACCATGGGAATTTGGATGATCACAATAAATATAGCTTCTGTATTTATTCATAATTTCCATGTAAATTGACAATTTGCTCATTCGATTCACCTAAAACAAACTAATTAGATGATTTTTATTCGATTTTTTTCTACGAAAAACTTACTAGCAGAAATTCAAGCACATGTACTCAATCTTTTTAGATTTTAAGGCAAATTATTGGCCGACACGTTAGTTATATTTATAATAGTTTCTTAATAAAATAAGAAAAATGTGTGTCCAAATGAGTTGAACGTGGTATCCTGGATTAGTGTCATGATGCATGACGGTCAACTTTGACAAATAGCAATGTGAAATAAAAGAAAGACTTACTTACTACTGTTTTTTTTACAAGATATTTAACAACAATATGTAAAGTACAATAAAATTAAAGCTTTTACGTACATAAAAAACTATTAAAATACACATTAAATTATTCAGTGGTGATACAGTAACAACCTTGACCCTTGAAAAAGGAAATCAAACATTCAATTTATACGGACTAAAATATGATCAGTTCAAATGTTTCACTTTAACACAAAGTAACAATACATAGATATAGTTTTTAAAACAAAAACTGTAGTAAAATGAACAAAATAGTGAGTATAATATACTGTATCTTTGTCCTCCTCTAACCTCAACCTTTTTTTTGTTGGATAATAAGAACCATTATATTCCTAAATTTATGTTTTTTGATCAGTTGATACCACCTCAGAGTAGAATAGGCAGACAGCTACGCATATGGTACGAGAGCCCCATGCTCTATATGAAACCAGGAAAGATCCTGAAATACGAATAAGGAAAAATAATAATTTGAACGACTAAGAGCCCGTTTGGACCTAAGAAAAATTTTTCTTTCTTTTCGAATTTCTTTTTTTTACTTTTTTTCGAAATCAGCGTCTGTTCATAAAATTTCTAATTTTCACTTAAAAAAGCATATTGGGATTTTTCGAAAATTTAAAAAACTCCAAAAAATTATTTTTCAAAATTTTCACTCAGATCACTCAGAAAACGTAAAAAACAACCCAAAATTATATTCATATCCAAACACAACTCTAATTTTCGTATACCATTTTCACTTGAAATTTTTTTTCACTTTTCTTTTGAAATTTTACAATTCTTTTGTCCAAACGTACGCCCACTAAATTAGCAACCTACATGTCAAAAGAGTAGGGGGAATTCAAAGTAATGTTAAATATAAGCTTGAGTAACGATTTTCTATATCAATAAAATACTCTAACTTTGTGATCGTATACTATATACGTTACCCAAAGGGTGTGATTAGACGCCGACCTTAATTTTATAAATTTATTTAATTATCAATTAATACTTATGATTGATTTTATTTATAATTTCTAATTTTCTAAGGAAATTTACTTATAATTAATAAGTGACCTAATTGTTCAGTTTTGTTGTCACCTTTAGTGCATACAATTTAAACTCTGAAAAGATTTGAACTTATATAGAAGCTTCTAGTGTAAATTTTTATTAAATTATCAAGTCACTTAATTAGAAGTTATTAAATTTTGTTAATCAATAAACTAATAGCCTAAAAAATAATATAAGCTAGTAAAAACCTTCTACATCATGTTAAATTACACTTGTTAGTAATGGGTACAACATAAAATTTTAAGAAATGAAACATTGCATGTATATTCGAGAACCATATGTAGGTTAGAATGATACAGTTCCGATTTCGAGAGTCAATACTTCTTTATTTTGATCGCACATTTGAACATAAAATCTATAAATTTTTTGAAATAAAATTTATATATTTTAATTTTTTCAATAAAAATACTACATATCACAATTATTAATTATTTAAATGTATAAAAGACATAAACAAAGCCGTGGTTAAACAATAACTCGTTTATCCCTTGAAATCAGAATTCCTTTTTTTCCTCATCCGGTGTCCGGTATCCGTATTGGGGTCCGATTAAATCCGGATTCGCGCCGTATGTTCTCACATTAGGGTAAAGCGCTCCCTAACAAAATTAATACCATACTCAGGACTCGAAGTAGAGCCGTACTTACCATTGCACCACAAACTTTGTGAGGAAATCTAAAAATTTTGTTGGGAGGAAAGGAATATTGTATACAATTATCATTTTCCTATTTTTTTTTTGTTGCCATAATAATAAGTTTCGTGGGCATATGTGATGATGACGAAGTTGGCGTATTAAGATTCTAGAGAGAGAGAGAGAGAAATAGTAAAAGGAACGAGAGTCAAAGCAGCAGCGCAGCAGTTGGTACTATTTGTATTGGTAATGATTTCGGCACAGACAGACAGAGCAAAAAAGAAAGAAAATACAAAGCCATAGGTGAGAATAGAATACAAAAGAGAGATATATATACTACTATATCAGAAGCTCGTGATGAGAATTTTTTCTTTACAGTAGTAGCAAACAAACATCAAATATATCAGAGAATTAAGAGACTGAAAAATTTGCTTTTCTCGTGATCTTTCTTTGTACACATAATTATTACACTTTTTGTTGTTGCTTTAAACCTAGACAGTTTCAACGGGATTTGCCAAAAACCATCTCTTTTCTAAGTCTAAACTTAAGCCAGATATCTCTCTCTTGTTCAACCTCTATATAGAAAGAACATAGCTCTCTTTTTTCCTGTCTTTATCTAGAGAAATTTCATTTAGTTTCCCACTTTTTTTTTTCCATTTATTCTGTTGGTGGAAACTGAAGGGATAGAGGTGAAAAAGAGGAGTCTTGAAAATACCATTTTGGAATTTGAAGAGATTTTTTTTGAGAAGAAGAAGAAATTGAAGAATGGGAAATTGTGGAAGAAATGGTGGAGTGAGACAATATATAAGATCAAAAGTACCTCGTTTGAGATGGACACCTGATCTTCATCATTGTTTTCTTCATGCTATTGAAAAACTTGGTGGCCAAGATAGTAAGTTTTAATTCTCTTCTTCATCTTCTATGTAACTTTTTATTTTTATTTATTTATTTATTTTTTTTTATAATTTCTTTTGGTTTTTCTTTGGTTACCATATCGTCTTACTTTGCTGCTGTTACTGCTTTATTTAGCATTTTTTCCTTGAGTCGAGTGTACATCGGAAATAATTTTTCTACTTTCTTAAAGTAGGGGTAAGGTCTGCCTATGTAACACCCTCGCCGTATCCCACTTGTGAGATTTTATTGAATTTTTTGTTGTTGTTGATGTTGTAATTTTTGTTTGGTTTGCTTGTTTGTTAATATATGTAGAGGCTACTCCTAAGCTTGTTCTTCAGATGATGGATGTAAGAGGACTTACTATTTCTCATGTTAAAAGTCATCTTCAGGTTAGTTTGTTTTTTAGATTCTAAATATCCATTTTTTTGGCTCTTCTATTTTTTTTTTTGGGGGTTGTATTTTGTTAAGTTTACATGGTATACTTGTTTTCATGATAACAGATGTATAGAAGCATGAAAAGTGAAGTCAACAGGCAAGGTAATTCAAGATTTCTCAATTTATGTGTGTGTGGGAAAAAGTGAAAAAAAAATCCATTCTGTAACTAAAACATTGTTCTTTGTTATTCTAAGTATTTAATGTTCTTCATTATGGACTGTTGAAATGAGTACATCTTTTTGTGTTTATGTGCAGTAGAATGTGAATTCTTTATAAGTTTCCTCTATTAGAATTTCTTGAGCTGATCTTTTCACATTTGAATGTCTAACAACTAAACATATCTTGGGAAATTATCTTACTACTCACTTCATTTATTGCATCTTTCTTTCCCAATGCAGTTTCTTTTCTTGATTAAATTCCATTAGCACAGAAATGAAGCAACCATTCCTTTGGATCTTCTAATATTGGCATATTTAAAGTAATCAAAGTCGTCTACTAGTTGAATTTCTGATGCCCATTTACTAGAATTCCTTTCATTTTGATAGTTTTGTAGAAACTAAATCCTTTTTCTATGTCCAAATTTGTGTGAAAGTAGTTCTCCCATGCTAAGACTAGATTGTGAATGTTGTACACTGTTTCCTACTTGTTTGATATTTACGTTCTATACACACTGTAAAGTCCTTTAGAAAAATCAATCTAGTATATTTTATTCCTGAAGGGGGAGTCTAGAGCGATGATGAAGTTGTCTCTGTATGGCCTATATGTTATGGGTTCAAGCTGTGGAAGCAATCGCTAATGCTTGAATTAAGGTAGGTTGTTTGCAGCACACCTAGGGCGAAACTACATTGGCCTAAGGGTGGTCAATTGATCACCCTTCGTCGAAAAACTAAACCGTGTATATAGGTAAAATATTAGGTTTTAGAGATATATAACATATATTGAACACCCTTTAATGAACAATTTATTTCACTTATTTTAAGTCTGAACATCTTTGGGGAAATTTCTGGCTTCGCTATTGATCACATCCCTTGGTATGCGGTAATTCCTGGACTCTGTTTGAACGCAGGATACCTTGTGCACGGGGATACTATTTTTTTATATTCTACTACTCTAGTAGGCATGTGTAAATAATTTTTTTTATTATGCATATAGTTTAACCTTTTCTTGTTTGCTTGTGCTTTGTTTTGTTCACGAACAACAGATAGAAGCAGCACTCAACAAAGAAAACAATCTCTAGAAAATCATGATTGTCATCAAGAAGAAGAAGGGTGTATTGAGCAACAGAAGCTTTTGGTTTACGATCCATCTTTTAGTCCAATTGAAAGATCAGATTCTCCTTACTTTAACAGTGTTCAACCCACAAAAAGGTGAGTTTGTAATCTTTTATGGCCTCAGTTTCCCAAGTCTCAAAAAGGGTTTTGCCTAGAAACAAAAAGGATTTGCATTTATGGCCTGGACATGTCATCATTATCTTTACTTTATATCGTATAGTGTCAATTAATGTGCAACTACAAGTAACAATTTATAACAAATGAGATTACTTTTCTAAAATGATTAAGGCATATAATATGTTACTACAAGTTAAATTACCTCGATAATTTGTTTACATTACCTGTAATTGGCAAAGTCAGAATTTAAAGTTTATGGGTTCAGAATTTTAATTTTTAAGTTACTAGGTTCGAAATTATACTTTGCACATATTCAATTAAATTTTTAAGATAAATATAAGGTTTAATTTGAAAAAAAACTACCAAATCCGTAATTAAAGGGCTGGCTCCACCCCCAAGAGCTAGTGTATAACTCGGGGGTTTGGCAACTTATTTATCCAAATTATTAAGTAAATTAGAACCTAGTAACAAAAGTAAGACTAACATCGCGAATTCTACTTGTCTCTATCTTTCTTTTTTAACTTTTTGTCTCACACAATACTGTTATGAATTCATCTTAGAGCTAGAATCAAGACTACAAACTGCAGCCAGAGAATACGTGAAGCAGTGGCCAATCAGTACAGTAAAGATGATTACATCCATAGTATGGCTGATAAAAGTGTAGTAAAAGAGAGGAAAAAAGAAGGAGAGAATGGTTTCATATGGCAACAGACTTGTGGTGAAAGTGAAACAGAAAGAGAAAGAGAAACAGCTCATCCTGCTTTGTGCAACAGTACTTATTTCTCTCTGCCACAAGATTTCTTTCAAAGTTTTAATCCTCAAGTTCAAGAATCTGAAATTTTCAAGGTACATATCCCAATAACCCTATACTTCTCTTTTTTGGTTCCAACTGCTAGTTATAAGGGGTGGTTTGGTACCCGAGATAAGGTGGGATAAGGCGTGAAATTAAATTTATTCCATGTTTGGTCGATGGTAAATTTATCCCAGGATAAATTTATACCGTCAACCAAACATGATAATATCCCACCTTATCTCATCAAACTTGGGATTATATTATTCACCTCCCAGGCAAGCGCGAAGCTACATTGTTTCGTCGAAAATTTATAGTATTTATTTAAAATATTAGTTTTTAGAGGTACACAATATATATGGAAATTTTTTTTCACTTCTTTCTAGTTTGAACACCTTTGGGAAAATTTCTGACTTAGCCATTGCTCCCAGGTGAGATAAATTAGTCCAATGATTATAATCCTGGAATAATTTAGTCTGCGTACCAAACGACTCCTAAGTTCTTGGTATAAGTAGGGGTATTTTCTTTTGTGCAGCTTTTTTAGAATGAGAGGTTGAGTGCACTGTTGGTATTTTTTTTTAGGTCTATTTTCAAGATTCAACTCTAGTCATACAGTATACTTTTCTTTTTTACTTGCCTTTCTCTGTGAAATTTTCTGCGTGTTGTAGTACATTGTGTCTACAACTGGCAAAGCCTATAAGTCTTCATTCTATAGGGTATTAGGTACACTTAGTACTGAAAGTAGTTGAAATACAAAGTTGATGTTGCTTTCTCTTCTGTTGTTTAGTGCTTCTTCTTTATATTGTTTTGCTTTTAATTTTGCCATAACAAGAAAATAAAACAAGCATGACCATGTATTTCCCACAAAAGAAATGGAAAAACAAGTTTAGTATAGACAGAGTTGTTACTTTTGGCACATTAGTTGATACTTGATACCATGAAATATGGGGTAATCTATTTGTAATTAATTAGCTTAAATTGGTGGCCATTTAGGAAACTTTCCATTTTGACGTTAGAATTAGAAGAAGCATATGAGTAACTAAGATAAGGTTCTAAATCATATGGATTTAGCTTGTACACAATGATAATGTATAGGATTTTACACTACTAGTGTGTATAACATGTTGTACTAATTGAGTTTCAACTATAAACATCGTCAAATTACTAATTGACTTTTATAACCTGGTTCGTTTTCAAGATTATAAATTTCACTTTTTGTATGGGGTCACATGTATATATCTTTTAAGTAATCTGATGGTGTAAAAAAGTATTTTGCATTGTCAGTATATATAAGTTAAACTCTTACATCTCGCTTATTTTTTAGGTAACCAGTATAAGTATTCCTCTATGCCGTTAGTATATTGAAGTTAAAATTCTTTATATATATGTTGAGGGTATATATGTATTTATTGTTGGATGGGTTGTTGAGAGTATATTTATTAGGCATTGGTCATGTTTTGACATAAGTAAACACGTTGATGAGAAATTTCATGATGCATTCATTATATTCCAACGTTACTTGGTCTTTCTACCTAAGCTTTTGTATTTTCTTCATACTTTAATCTCAGCGTTTGACATAATTTCTGGTTGTTATCTGGCACGTTAAAAAGCCATGCAATTGTGGAAGGCAATTGTGAAAGTCTCTTTGGGATCTTATAACAAAATTCAAATGGCATTTAATACATTTACTATAGTACAATATGAAAGCAGCAGTGACTTTACAACCGTGGACCACATTATTTAATATGTATAATGAGTGATCTTTTTGGTACTATTTTTTCTGCTTCTCTATACTGTGGTCTAAATAAAATATTGTTATTTAGCCGAGGGTCTATCGGAAGCAATCTCTCTGTCCTTCCAGAATAGGGTAAGGCTGCGTACATCCTACCCTCCATACCCCGTTTATGGGATTACACTGGTTGGTGTTGTTTTTTCTCTATACTGTGTAATACATAAGTTGATATATACAATTTGACCATCTTATCATTGCAAAGTGTTAGCTTACAATTGCGCTTAACTTAATTATAAACATTGGCTTTGTCAACTTAATCTTGCACTATCAGAAGATCGAAAAGATAACTATAGAAAATCGTCTTAGCTATTATAACTGATTGTTTGTTGCTCAGGCGGCCAAGCAACAAGATTCAAAACGGGAATCATCAAAGAAGTGCAAATTCGAGGGCTCGAGGAAAATAGAAAATGTAGGAGAAGAAGAAGAAGAAGAAAAAGAAGACGACGATTGTAGATTATCGTTGGCTCTCTCATTGCACCATCCTTCAATTCAAAGAAGCAATACTTCGTCCACAATAAGTGAAATTAGTGAGGCAATTTCTTCATACTCGGGTTCCAACCTGAATCATCACGAGTACCACTGGCTTTCTTCTTCTGAAAAACATAGTGTTATTAATCTTGATCTCTCTATTGCCTTGTGTAGTGAGTAGTGACTTATGAGATTTCCTGAAAAATTCCCCTTAGGTGAATTTTGAAATCAATTAGTCTTTTTATTAGGAGGATGAAGTTTTTTACTTCTTTTACTGTAGTGTTTCTCTTTCTTTTTTCTGTGTTTACTATTTTAATTTATTACCCTTGTTCATGTTGATATCAGAGAAACGCTTCAGTAACTTAAGTACTCGAGTGTTGTTATTGTAGTCCATTTGTAACTTTTATTTCAGTTACATTGTAGTATTTTGGGATATTATCATTTTTAGCTTCTGTCAGAAACGATCTAGTAGCCGAAAATGTATAAAATGTATATATTTACCAATTTCGTACATTTTTTCGGCAATTATTTTTACAACGACTATAGTGTCATTTTTCCTAGTTTTTGTCTTTTGAATTATCTAGGGTTTCACCTTTGTCTTACTAGCCTTTTTGTCGTGTTTGTTCTTAAAGGCGCGCATTTGTCTTTTTATGACCATAATAGTGAATTTTATGGTCAATTTCGTCAAATATGAACTGGAAATTGACAGTATGGAAGTTTAACATTTTGTTGAATTTAGATAAAGAACAGAATAAGAAAAGGAAAAGAACAAATCCTTCTGCTACCTTTCGCTTTTGGTATTTTTATTTCCAACCTTCTTTCACTTTGATGTGCTTTTAAGTATGGAGAGTGAAGTAAACAAATAGCCTTCAAAAGTGGCTGATTTTATTAATTTTTTGTTCTCGCTTGCCCCAGGACAGAAAAGAGTTTAACTAGTGTTGTTCCTTGCTTATCCCATGAGCAATAATTTTAATTTTTGACCTTGAAATTTGGCATGAAACAAGCAGGGGTTAAAAATTAAAGACCAGTTCAAAAAATATCATATTATTGCAATTTTTTGAAGTAGGGATGGATGGACGTTATCGGTTTTGGATAATAAATTGATGGTCAATCGACATGTATTTTAGCATGACAATTTGGCGCAACTAATATTAAAATTAGAATACACATATCCTGCAAACAATTCAACATGCAAGATGGGGATTAATAGTTTAATTTGTTGACTATTTGAATCTTCACCTTGTTGGTAGGGAGTCCGATTTCAGGCCATATATTAACTCGATTTTCGACGGGATGAAAAAGACATATATGGTAGAATTGAAACCATCTAATACGATCCTAATCGAAATGCATACATTTGTCTCATACACTATGGGGATGGTGAGAAGAGATATATTTTACATCCCAGAGGGGCTATAATTGGAGATACCATTATTTCTGGTACAGAAGTTCCTATAAAAATGGGAAATGCCCCACCTTTGAGTGCGTTTGAACTATTGATTTACGTAATTGGAAATAACTCCTTTCTCATCCCCTATGTATAATAAAAAAAAATTAAAAAGAATCTAACATACTAGATGCTGGACAAGAATTCTAAGACAAAAGGTAAACAATCCGGCTTGGTCTTTTAAAGGTTAGCAAAAGTGTACCCGCCCACTCCACCAGTGATATTGTCTGATTTGGGCCTAGGCCCTCACGACTTTAAACTGTGTCACTAGAGTCTAAGGTCTGTCTACTTATATACCCAGCATCTCTCCCGTGTTTTGTCAATGTGGGATTTGCCTAGGGTATCACATACACCCCCCTTAGGGACTCAACGTCCTCTGAGGTTTGCCCCTTCACCGTTCAAGGTTGCACGCGGAGTGGCTCTGATACCATATGCAACAGCCGAACCCACTAGTGATATTATCCGCTTTGGGCCTAGGCCCTCACTGCTTTAAAATGCGTCACTAGAGTCTGAGGTCTGTCTATTTATATACCTAATATCTCTCCCGTGTTTTGTCGAAGTGGAATTCACCTGTGGTGTCACTAAAAGATCCATTATATGTTGGAGTTGTATTGCTAAAGATACAATATTTGCACTAAAATAAAATATATACATTTATTTTGGGACTAATTAGTAAATAGTAACTGCAGTTGCATTAAATCCATAAAATAGCTTGAGGTACAAACTGCAATTTTATATCCTATGCGTACTCAAGATTTCGTTATTCAACTTTTTTAAAATTAATTCGTGTGTTTATAAAAGAAAATGACAAAATATGTTGACAATTCATCAAGAGGAAATTCTCCGACCAGTTATAATAATGTCTTTTCCAAGAATATAGGTGCAATAATCGAGTGGCATAAACAAAGATATATAATTTGGTAACAATAATGACTTATAGACTTATAACATATTTCATATCAAAATCCATATAAAATTTCTCAATAATTTCTTGATACCATTCTCGCAAAAGCTATATATATGTATATATTTTCTTAAACGTATTGGAGAATAATAAAATATAGATTAATACAGGGCCCGTGTTTCTTGACTCTTATTGATCGAAGAGACACCAAATTAGGTAAGATGTGACTGAATTTAGCAACATGCATGAATTCTGATTAATTCGACATACATTTAGAAAGTTAGCCTTTACAAGTTTGTCAAACCTTGACATGCAAAATTCCTTAGTACCTCGATCATTAGTAAGGTAAGCATTACGTCCATCCTCTCTTTTTTCTTTGCTATGAATGATTGTAGCACATTCACGTTTAAATTCGGATGGTTTTGAAGTTGCCACCTTAATCTCCTACATATATATAATTAAAAAAAAAAAGGGGGAGGGGGGGGGGGGGGGAATCTTGGAATATATGCACAAAATGGGCCAATAATCAAGGAGCACTGTGACAAACTTGATCGCAAACATAATGATAATTGGTAATACACTCGTGCACAAAATGGTTTGATTATGAATGTTTGATGTGACATTGCTTAATTATATTATGCTTTGGAGATAATATCAAAATTGTCTTTCACTTTGTTTTTAAACTAGGGAAGGCCGGAAGGGTGAGAAATAAAGCAAAATTGAAGAGGAAAATGACAAAAAATATTTTGATTTTCGCTGCTCGGATACAGAGAAAAACCTTTGCACTTTTTTTTCCTAGGTTCCAATAAAAGGACTCAATTTATATTGAGTTTTACTTCTCAACATTGGAAATGTAACAGATCAGAATTATAGGCAACCGTCTTTGAAAATGGAATGATCAACGTGAAAAAATAAAGTGCGTTATCTGCTATAATATATTAAAATACGCTAATAGAATAAAATTATTTCACATGTTCAGTGAGCGTATAAGTTAAATTCATTCCTTTACATATATTTGTATTTATGCATGAAAGATGCTGGCAAATAATCAGGGGTAGTAGGAGAGTAGAAGCTATGGGCTCGATCCGATTCAATAGTTTTGGCCCAAAATTTGTATTTGTCTTAAAAAATTCATATTTATTAATTATTAATTTAGCACACAATAATTTAAAATATATAAAATTCTGAACTCATAAACTTCAAATTCTAGTTTCTCCTCGACAAACAACCAGCTACTATACAGTTGTTGCTTCTGATTTGACAAAAGATTAGAGAGGTATATTTTGTTTTCTCTTTTAGTCAAATAGGATTGACCAAAACCTGTAGCCATGTTTGAAAATCTAAAACAAAGGTGGAGAGAATGTTACCTAGAGAATGGAAAAGCTCTAATTTAAGCCTTTTAGGTAGGATTAATTGTCCAAACAAATAATTGCAACTATAGTCAAAGATCACAGCTATATCATCACATGATAATTTAATTATTTGTGAATAATTTGTGAAGGCCCTAAGTCAAGGAATTAGCTAGAGTTTGTTCTTTGGAATCCTATGGTCTATCTTTTTTCCAATTGGTTAGCTTAATTCATAATATTGCAGTCCATGTAATTCACACAATAGAAAGAATTCTCCATAACAGGTTGGCATTGACTTTGGTTTTTAAACTTTGCATTTCCATTTCATATGTGTTTTTATATGACCAATCAAAACTTGATTATTTCATTTCATTTTTTATATATTATTCTGCATGAAAGATATTTTGTCACCGAGCTATCCTTTTTTACTCATATTAGTGAATTTTTGGCGCAAAGCACGTATTGTCAATCAAATGATTTCACTTCATATAAAAATATTAACAGAGATTTCAGTATATACGGTATTCCGTGTGATCTAGCTTCTTTTTTGTGGTCCACAATATTTGATCTTTTTCAGATATTAAGAAGGAATTAACATCTTTTTTTCAAAGTTGTTCTTGTAGTAAAGAGCCTAGAAGTATTTGTTATATTTTTGATGAACAAATTAAGGGAGAAATTCAAAAATAGCCAGATTTACAAGTGGTCATTCAAAAATAGCCACAGTTTCAAAAGTAATCGAAATTTAGCCACTTTTTATGTAAAGATAAATCTGAACGAAAACACTGTTCAAAATCCGAAAAATTCTCCAGCATAATATACTGGAGTTCGAGCACAAGTATACTGGAACTCCAGTATATTATAATGGAGTTCCAGCATAAGTATACTGGAACTCCAGCATAAAATACTGGAGTTCAGTATAATATACCGGTCCAGTATAATATGCTGGAAGTTCATACACATGTGCTCCAATCTCCAGTATATTATGCTGGACCGGTCCCTGTTGCAGCAAAATAGTGGCTATTTTTCAATGACTTTGCAAATGCTGGCTATTTTTGAATGACCAGTCCGAGAACTGGCTAGCCCGTGCTATTTTAAGCTAATATGTCAATTTCATTGTTAATAAATGCTAAAATATGGATTCCTTAATATACGTGAGAACAATCAAAAAATCAATTAAAGTGGAACGGAAAAAGTATTCACTAACCAGACAAATATTGATTCGCTCTAGGTAGGATCCATTAAAAGGAAAATGCTCACTATCAAGAATTTTTCCTTCCTAATGCTCGAACTCCGGATCTTTAATTAATAAGGGGACAATGTCATCCATTCTATCATATTTTTGTTTGATTGGTATATGATTTGCTATGAAATTTCGTATGTCGGTCTCTGAGATATTTTCTTGCAAATTGTTTTGAACATTCCAATTTTGACTAAAGACAAAAATATAGATTTTTCAAGAATTAATATCTTTGACACTCAGTTGATCTCATTTGGTTTGCTTCATTTCGTGTAGAGCCAAATAGTAATTAGCTCAATTTGCAAATCTTAAATTTTCTTCGTCACACTTTTGGAATTCCAATCTTGTATTTCACCTAAATGATATGTTATGATATTTTAAATAGAAGCTAGTAAAAGTTTTTTTTTTTTTTTGAACAAAGGAAGCATATATATATATATATATATATATATATATATATGTGACGAAAAGCTTACATAGGAGTTATATAGTCCCTAAGGACATTACTGTTGTTAAGAGATACTAG